TCTTTTGAACTTCTTGTTCTCTTTGTTTGGTGGGAGGATCAAGATATGATAGTGATGATGTTCTCCATTCAATATTTCTTTCAATTGACTTTTCATTCCCACCTAAGGGGGAAATAATTCTTCATTAAAATGACAATCATCAAACCGAGCTGTAAAAACATCACCTGTTTTTGGCTCAAGGTATTTTATTATTGATGGAGATTCATATCCAACATATATTCCCAACCTTCTTTGAGACCCCATTTTCGTACGTTGGGGCGAAGCAATTGGTACATACACTGCACAACCAAAAAATCTTATATGTGCAATATTTGGTTCTCGACCACATGCCAACTGTAATGGCGAGTATGTATGGTGTGCACTTGGTCTTATGCGAATTAGATTATCTGCATGCAGAATAGCATGTCCCCATACTGAAGTGGGGAATTTTGTCCTCATTATCAATGGTCTGGCTATAAGCTGCAGTCGTTTAATCAATGATTCTGCTAGACCATTTTGAGTGTAACATGTGCTACAGGATGTTCAACATCAATTCCCACTGCCATACAATAATCATTAAATGCTTGGGATGTAAACTCTCCAGCATTGTCAAGTCTGATTCTTTTGATAATATAATCTGGGAATTGAGCCCTTAATTTGATAAGTTGGGCAAGTAATTTAGCAAATCTCACATTTCTAGTGGATAACAAACTCACATGGGACCATCTACAAGAAGCATCAATTAACACCATAAAATATCTGAATGGACCACAAGGTGGATGAATAGGTCCACATATATCACCATGAATCCTTTCCAAAAATAATGGTGATTCATGTCCGACTTTAGTATGTGATGGTCTTATTATCAATTTCCCTTGAGAACATGAGGCACATGTCAATTCATGTGTTTGCATTATCCTCTGATTTTTTAATGGATGCCCATTAGAATTTTCAATAATTCTTCGCATCATTATCGAGCCAGGATGACCAAGTCGATCATGCCAAAGTTTAAACATTTCATTCGCTGGTGACTTTGTTGCAGCATAAGTCTCAATAATATGAATGCGGGTGTAATATAAGCCCGAGGATAAAGCTGGTAATTTCTCCAAAACACATTTATTTCCCGCAATATTTGAGGTAATGCAAAGATATTCAACTTCCCCTTTATTCATTGTTTCAACGTGGTATCCCTTCATTCGGATATCTTTAAAACTCAACAAGTTTCTTGTTGATTTTGGGGAGAATAATGCATCATTAATTATAAATTTTGTACCTCCCATCATAAAATATATGGCTTTTCCAGAACCCTCAATTATCTTTGCATTTCCGGATATTGTGTTTACTTTTGCTTTATTTAATTTCAAGTTGACGAAATATTTGATGTCCTTGAGTATAGTATGAGTAGTGGCACAATCTGCAAAACATATATCTCAATTTTGGATTCGAGATTGATCCATGATCTAAAAGAAAACAACATTTATTATTGATTAAAATCGAAATACAGATAAAAACACACAAATACAACAAACTTAAGAAAGCAATAAAAAAAACATGATCATTAGTTATTCTCTTGGTCATTTCCAGCTTGGTCTTCAACTACCGCATCAGCAAAATCCAGGTTCAATATGTCATCGATGCCATATTCATCATCCACACGTGTTGAATCATTTTCAGAGGGTTCCCCAATCATAAAATTGGTTTCTATATTCTTATCTTTTGATTTCTGGGAATTGTTATAATTATCAACAACTTGTCTCGGAGCACGACAATTGCGTGCCCAATGTCCCCTTTTTCCACATCGATAACATGCCTTTTTATCATTATTCTCCGTCACATTATTCTGTTCAAATTTTGGCTGGAAAAATGTTCCCCCTTTCAAAATTTTGGGCATAGTTACGATCTCGCCCACGATTATATCCCCAGCCTGAGTTATACCCTCGGTGAAATTTTGGATTTGGTCAAATCGGCGATCTGGACCATATCCACGGCCACGGCCACATCCACGTCCACGACCTCGGCCATGTCCCGAGGTATATCCACGCACATATGTTTGGCTGTTTTCAGTTCCGGTTCCCTGTTTAGATATTACAACATTTATTTCAGGGACCACAGTAGATCCCGTAGGTCTAGATTCATGATTTTTCATCAACAATTCATTATTTTGTTCAGCCAGTAGCAAACAAGAAATTAACTCAGAATATTTCACAAAGCCTTTTGCTCTGTATTGTTGCTGCAAAAGTACATTTGAAGCGTGGAATGTGGACAACATTTTTTCCAGCATTTCGTAACCAGTTATGTTTTCTCCGCATAATTTCAATACCGAGCAAATGCGGAACATGGCTGAATTGTACTCGTTTACAGTTTTGAAATCTTGGAAGCGTAAATGCATCCATTCATAACGAGCCCGGGGGAGAATCACCGTTTTCTGGTGATCATACCTTTCTTTCAAGACTTTCCAGAGATCTGCATGATCTTTTACAGTTAAATATTTATTTTTCAATGCCTCATTCAAATGATGCCTCAGAAATATCATTGCTTTAGCTTTATCCTGTATTGATGAATCATTTGGGGAGATTATTGTTTTTTCTAATCCCCTTGCCGCCAAATGAATTTCGGCATCCAATGTCCATGAGATATAATTTTTCCC